ACTACACACACATTCATACAACTCTCTACTACACACACATTCATACAGCACACTACTACTCACACACATTCATACAGCTCTCTACTACACACACACATTCATACAGCTCTCTACTACACACACACATTCATACAACTCTCTACTAGACACACATATTCATACAGCACTCTACTACACACATTCTTACAGCACTCTACTACACACACACACACATTCATACAGCACTCTACTACACACACACACACATTCATACAGCACTCTACTACACACACACATTCATACAGCACTCTACTACACACGCACATTCATACAGCACTACTACACACGCACATTCATACAACTCTACTACACACACACATTCATACAGCTCTCTACTACACACATTCATACAACTCTACTACACACAAACATTCATACAGCACTCTACTACACACACACACATTCATACAGCTCTTTACTTCACACACACACATTCATACATCTCTCCAACACACACATTCATACAAATCTCTACACACACATTCATACAGCACTCTACTACACACACAATCAAACAGATCTACTACACACACACTTTCATACAGCACTCTACTACACACACACACACATTCATACAGCTCTCTAAATGGACTGTAAATGGACTGTACTTATATAGCGCCTTTCTATCTTATTTCAAGATACTCAAAGTGCTTTGCAGTACAATCATTCTAAAGAGACTAATCAGAGCTATATCACATTCAAACACCGATGGGACACACATCAGAGGCTATGAGGGGTTCAGTGTCTTGCCCAGGGACACTTCGGCATATGACTGCTGGTGGATTCGAACCCCCAGCTCTCGCATTGTAGGACGACTGCTCTAACTACTCAGCCACAGCCGCTCCACACACTACTACACACACACATTCATACAGCACTTTACTACACACACACACACATTCATACTGCACTCTACTACACACAGACATTCATACAACTTTACTACACACAGACATTCATACTGCACTCTACTACACACAGACATTCATACAACTTTACTACACACAGACATTCATACAACTGTACTACACGCACATTCATACAACTCTCTACTACACACACACACACACATACATTCATACATTTCTCTACTACACACACACATTCATACAACTCTACTACACACACATTCATACAGCTGTCTACTACACACACATTCATACAGCTCTCTACTACACACCCACATTCATTCAACTTTCTACTAAACACACACATTCATACAGCTTTCTACTACACACACACATTCATACAACTCTCTACTACACACACACATTCATACAGTTTTCTACTACATATCTACAAAGTTAATTTGAATGTGTAGAGATTAATCAGAGCTTTATCACCTTCATCTGATGGGACACACATCAGAGGCAAAGAGGGGTTCAGTGTCTTGCCCAGGGGCACTTCATCATGTTGCTGCTGGAATCAAACCCCCAACTCTCCCATTGGTGGATGACTGTTCTATCCACTCAGCCACAGCTGCCCCTTAAGAGTTGTAAAAATAAATCCTTACCATTTTAAGTGTCTGTATCACCTTTAATTTAAGTGTTCAATTCAATTCAATTCAATTCAAAAAAACTTTATTAATCCCAAAGGGAAATTATTTGTTGTTGTAACTTATCCTCATTTCATTAAGAGATGTTATAGATACTGATGGCTGTAGGCAGGAAGGATCTCTTGTAAAGGTCCATCCCACAGTGGATCCTAAGAAACTGGCTGCATATGCCGTCCGATCCGTCCACCCAGACTCGGCTGGCCTCTCGATTCCCCCGGGCTGTGGGACCACCCGAATGCCGGACAGAACTCCTCCCAGAGCGATGGCCGCTCCTCCCAGCAGTCTGCTGAGCTCCTCGTCACTGCGGACAGCCAACTGTAGGTGCCGAGGGATGATCCTGTCCTTCAGCTGTCATGAGCCGTGTTTCCTGCTAGTTCCAGGATCTCAGTGGTCAGACACTCGAGCACAGCTGGCAGGTAGATGGGAATGCATCCACAGAACATCCTTTTCAACTCATTTGAGATTTAGGGCTGTAGTTGAGATATTATTTGAGCTTTTGAGATGTTAATCAGCTGCTGTTGGTTGTAGAAAACTGCCTTGTTTCCATGGTTATGCATCATAACAAATGTCTTAAACTAAAAAAGTTTCAGTAAAAATCCTTCCAGCTGCACAGCATCTGATACCAGAGGAAACAATCATCCAAAAAAGGTGCTTTACATCCAGAAAAACAGGAATTGAAGTTTCCTTAAGCAAAATCTCAGAATGAAAGTAACAGAGCTACTCGAACATGCAGCCACCTTGAGCGGCGCAATTCTAGAACTTGTTGTTACAGATATCCCTAATTTAATTCTTTCCGGTGCAAAAAACGGGAAAAACGTGTTTGAAATGTACCGGTTTTTGTTCGTTCTGGAAGAAAGGAAACCATGTTCTCATCCATTATTGGACGAGAGCCAACTCTCTTAATGCTGATTGTGTTAACTTGCAGCAAGACTCTTAAGTGTCACCTCCTTTTGTCTGCAGCTGTGAAGGAGGCAGCCGTCCAGAGGAGACACAACCTGTACAGGGACAGCATCGTCCTCAGCAACAGCGACCCCAACCTTCACCTGCTGGGTGATAACCCATCTATTGACTGGGCCCAGAAGTATGGAGAAGGAGAACCAGGGGAGGAGTCTGATGCAGAGTCAAAGAGGAGAAGGATGAAGCAGGTGGTGTCCATGATCCAGGAGGAGAGTCCTACCTTCATTCATGGGGAGTCGTGTGTAGAAGTGCCCAATGTCAACGTCATTGTGGAGGAGAATGCTGACCAGAAAGAATGTGCAGATTCCAAACTGTCAGGGAGCCCTTCAGGCATGTCCAGCAGCTCCATTGTGAAAGAGGAAGCTGTCAAAGCAGAGGAAACGCCAGAGGAGATTGAAGCAGCCACTGATGGTGCTCCAGGTGAAGGAGATGAGGGAAAAGAAGAACCTAAACAGCCAGTGTTGGTGAAGGAGGAGTTCTCAGAGGAGGCAGCACTTCCACTTCCTCACACATCCAACGGTTCTGTTTTAAAGGGAACTGAAGCCGGACCAGAGGAACCTTGTGAAGAAGACACCCTGCTGAAAGTTGGATCTGACACAGAGTCAGTCAAAGAGGAGAAGCAAGTCAACCAGACAGTGGTGGAGGAGGCACTGCCCCACACACAGGAGGAGCCATCCTCATCTCCTCTAACTGAGGAACCACCATTTGAAGCTGCAGAACCGGCTCCAGCGGCCACCCCCGCCCAGCGTCCACACGATGACAGCGGCTTCCAGTCTCCCACCAACGAGGAGGTGAAGCAATGGGAGGCAGCCTCCTGCACACCTGACCCACAGCCCTATGAGGAGCCCCCCATGAAGGAGGAGATGCATAAAGCTGTGGCAGCAAACAAAGAGCCTGGACCGAACTACTCGGATATCCAGAACCAGTGAGGAACCCGAACTGAACCAGTTTTTTTAACAATAAAGGACAATTTCTGGCTCAGAGGCTCACATGAGCCTGGAGGACCCCAAATTTTTCCTTTACCTTCACCTGGTAGAGCATGAGCACCATGGACGGCCTGGTGTCCATAACTGTGTGTTGGAGCACCAAGTTCACGGTGCTGCTGGTGATTTGACCAAACCTCTGCGCTCTTCAGGAACCTGCAGTAGTTAGATGTTTAGGACTAAAACTCAGATTGATGAGCTGCTTGGACCAAGTGTAAAAGAACAAATCCAGTTGATTTTTAATTTTTTTATTTTTGTTAAATGCTGGGCTGCAGGAGGAACATGAAATGCAGAAATGTTTCCTTGAATTTGTGTCTATGACCATCTCAGATAACTTGTAGAGCCTTTCTAAGAACAACCAACTTGTCATTTGACACATTATTTTAAATCATTTCATACATATGTTCACTGCTTATTTCTTTCACCTATTATTTATTATTTTGCACCTCATTATTAATTTGTCATGTTTTTTTAAGTTGTCTCTTGTGTGCTACAAATCCAACATTTAAAATAAATCATTATCCAAAAATCATTTGAGTCATTGGGTTTTCTAAATTTGGGAAAGAGCAGATGGGTCAGAGACAACAACAACAAGCTTTGTTTGTCAACAACACATCTACCAATTCTCATAAATCATATTTTTAAATGATTTCCATGCTTCAAATTTAAGTATACTTGAATAATTATTAATTTAGCTTTTATCGAACAAAGGGCTAATGGATAGGCGTTGCAACAATTATATGTGAAGGGGGCATGCCCCACTCGCATTAAAAAAATGTTAATTTGGACACACACACCCCCACACACACATTTACCATGAAATATTAGTTCACCCAGCATTGTTTCTATTTCTTCGTGAACAAATTCATTCTACTTGATTAATTGGAGAATACTCAAACCACTAAAAGTCCACTCCAGGTTTTCCTGGTTACCTACAACAACTCCATGCAGTGTTTCCCAGAGGTCATCTGCCTTGGCAGGGTACTCACGTGGGGGGGGGGGACACCTCTGTGTTGCACGCTAGCTTAGCACTATGTTAGTGCAGGCAGCAGTTGTTGACTGGGGAGTAGGATGCGTGAGAGAAGTGGAGCGCTACGTCATTAGCATCTTAGCTAGTGCAGCTGTGTTGCACACTGCTAGCTTAGCACTACATTAGTACTGGCAGTTGTCAACGTGTGAGGGCGTGTTAGGATGCATGAAAAAATCGAAGCGTCTATTCACACAAGGAGAGTTGCTGGTCAGGCTACTTCTTGTTGCTCTCTAAAATAGTTATTGAATCAAGTGTTTATGTAGGTAAATGCAGATGTTTAACAACCTGTTAAAATACAGCAAAATGGTGGGGGTGGAGGTGGGGGACATCCTGGACAGGTCTCCAGTCCATCACAGGGACATCCTGGACAGATCTCCAGTCCATCACAGGGGCACAAATGGAGACAAACAACCACACAACAATCACTCCCACTTAGGGAAAGAGTTACCAATCAGCCTAACATGCATGTTTTTGGTATGTGGGAGGAAACCGGAGTACCATGCACGGAGAGAACATGCAAACTCCACCCAGAAAGGCCCATGGCTGGGATTCAATCGGCGACCTTCTTGCTGAGAGGCAACGGCTCTACCACCTGAGCCACCGTGCCGCTGGGACTGAAATCTGCCCTCCAAAATGACAGGTCACCTCCACAAAGAGGGGTTTATCAAAGCCTATTCTTGGATTTTGGGAGTGGAGAAGATGGAGTCCCTGCAGTCCTGACCCTAACCCCTCTGACCACTTGCGGGATCAGTTTGGGCTTGTTTTTTCCAGAGTGACCGACACAGCCACACTGGCTGAATGACAAATGCTGGTATGGAAGGTCTTCCTACAGCATTGGTCCTGATCTGTGAAAGGGATGACGACTAAAAGAACTCGTATTACTCCTAGCTCGCCGTCAAATGATCTGAATTTATTTTATAATGTTATTTTGTAGATGTACATTACAGTTCAGAGCCCTTGTTATGTGCATACGTGTGGAGATTGCAAATTTCTCCTGTTACAGCTGCTCTTATTGTGAAAGCTCATGAGATGGTGGTAATAACACATGTAGATGAACAGATGCTCGGATATATTCATCATTTAACACGGATTC